GGGTTTATTTTCTGCAGTAATCCAAACTCCAGTTGAAAAGTCCCAATTGCTTTCTGATGAGGGAATCAGCGCAATGCTAATTTCCTGGTTGAGCTACAAAAAAACTTCATTGTAGAAAAAAAAGCGTTGCATGCTTGTCGATATTGAAGAAGGCCCAAAGGCTGAAACATCATCAAAATAAAAGAAATGTATATGGAGCCAGAGTGTGCGACACTTTTCTACAATCAAGTCTGTTGCCAGTGATCAGCATTTCAGTATAATTCTTGATGTGCATTGCTTTTATATTTTAAATATGGCTTACAGAAAACGTTGTCCCTTTAGCACTCTATAGCTTAGGTTACATAGGATATAAATGTATTTCTGTTTTGCTACGTGGCTGTCTGTCTTTCTACCTTTAATATTTATTGTAAATATCAATAAATTAACTAAATTTACTGGTAAATATATTTAATTATTACACGGCTCTATTAAATGCTGCATTCTGATTGGTCAGTCGCGGCATTCTGCGGTCTGATATTACTGTGTAATGACCGCTGCTAGTAGCAACGGTCATTACAAACAGTTGCTATGTAGCCCGGCGTTGCTATAGGGACGCTGCCCTGAAAACAGTTACTTTTTTTATCGGGCTAAAGTAGCCGTTACCGCTTACAAAATAATAATTTACAAAATACAAAGATGGACTATTTTCATGAGATAACTTTTAATATATTTGGTGAGCATGAAAATCTTGAGACATGGTTACTGGCTGAAGATGAGAAGAATGCCGGAGAAGAGGGATGCTCAGAGGCGCACGGGAAAGAGAGGAGACACAAGATTGTGGATGACAGGGAGGTTGATCGCATCAAAGAATGCCGTTGCCGGCAGTTTGTTTTTTCTCTCCTCCCGATTTAATTTATAACTCAATAAAATTGTATAATTAATCAATATTCTGTCTATTCAACTGATAATTAGCCGTGTAATAAGCGGGATAATGTATAATGAGCCGGTGCGCGTCGGGGTTCTATTCCCCTGTCGGGAGTTATTTTCCCAGTACTCACCGGCTCATTATACATTATCCCTTACATATATTATTTAAAGGTAGCTAACTACACCATATTGCATACATTTACAAAAGCTAGGAAAGCAGCTGAGATGCGCTAAGCTAGTCACCCTTAGCAGGTGTTTTTGTTTTCCTTTTTTATTAACTGTTGTGATTGGATTGAGCCTTCTTACTGCCTCATTTAGTAATGTGGTATTGCTGACATAATGAACTAAGGTGCCAGCTCAACAAAATTAATATTTGTCATTTACAGACAGGGGAAAAATAAATACGTTAGCTTTAGCATTAGCTAAGGCACGCTGTTGCTATGTCTCTAGCTAGCTTTCCCTTCGTTGAGCCCTCTTGGTGTAGCTGTCTAGTCTGGTGTTTTTTCTGTTTAGCTTGTCTTTTAGCCACTGGAACTTTAAAAATCTTTTTGATGTTTCTTTTTATATGGCATAAAATTTATAGTACAACAAATGTTTTTTTTTACTGAATATGTAGTTAACTGCCTTTATAGAGCTTCCCATATCTTCCTGGTAAAACAGGATGTGTGGGATTTATGGAGCTCCTTTAGAGGACAGAAATAGGCCTCGCTCACCTTCATGTTTATTATGTGCCGGTACATGTCCCTTCCCATATGATGAATAATAATAGACTGATTTAGGCTTCCTGTCATATCAGTATAGCGGTGTGGAAAGGAGGAGAGGGAGGGAGAGGGGCTGGGAAGGAGCAGTGTTGAGATAGCTTGATATAAGCAGACAGATGTAAGAGGACAGAATCAGCCTTGTACCTGCATCAGTATGCCACAGTAGTTTCTGCTCTGCCCTCTCGTTCCTCTCTGCAAACATGAGACAGCACCTGGCCTCTTCGGCCCTCCTCTCTGTCTCCACAAGAGGATGAATCTGTCATGATGTCCATTAGTGTTATTACCACTCTGACATCCATGAAAGCAGTCGGGGTGTCCCTTATTGTGTTGACATAGCATGAAACCCACGCTGGCACGCACAGCCTAATCTGACACATCAGATTTACCCACTCCTACTGCTGCCTGTTTCACCCTGCACGTGGCAGAGTTTAGTTATACACTCCTACTCCCCTAAATTCACACACTTATCCACTACTTGGGGCAACACTGAACAACTTATGGACTCCCCCATTTTAAAGTTCTCTCTGGCCATTACACTGCACATCATCTACCAAATTTTGGTAGGTTCCCAGTAGAAAAATGGAAATACACTGTGCCATGAATAAGCAGCGAAAGGCAGCTAAGGTGCCTCTGGAAAATCAGTATGCATTTATGGAGATATTGAAATTATTCTCACCAAATGTACCATCTGTTGTTACACACAGATTTATTTAGATAAGCAATGATCCATGTACAGTTGCTGACTCGTAGTTAAAATATTCACAGTTGTCTATAATTTGTTTTTGTGATGAATGAGGTTGCTTGCACTTACGTTTGGTTAAGTTTATGTGTGCCACTGCCACAGTAGTCTGCTTACAACTCTTAGAGAGTTGGGGATATTTCTTTCTTGAATCACAGCAATTAAATTGAACCAAAACAGTCATAAGTCATAAATCTTTTGACATCATATCATAGTTAAAGGGTTAGTTAGGGTGGCTATACAGATCTGTGTAGAGCTGGGAGAACAGCACAAAATTCCTCATGCATTAAACTTTCTGTGGTTCTTTCCAATTTGTTTGCATTTATATGAAACATGTTGCACTGACAGAATAAAAATATATTTTATGGAAATTTAAAAATATGTAGAAAACTTGAAGGAGCTGCTGATTGTGCACCAGAGTCTCTGTCAGGAAGTAAGTAAGGAAACAAAGGGTTAAACTACTGACTATTTGATTTTTTTTTTTACACATAGTTTTTTATTTCAATTCCAGCAACTAATACAATCATTTTCAGAATTGCCATGCTATTTTTTTTTTCTTTTTACAGCTGTGCCAACATGGCTTACAGGCAAACGACAATAAGTTAACCCTTTGAAACCTGAGCAAATTGGCTTGAATTCCTTAAAAAACATGGGAAGAGGCANGGCTTGAATTCCTTAAAAAACATGGGAAGAGGCATTGAGCAACAAAAGAAATGACCCCTCAAAAATGACAAGAAATTAGTAAAAAGAGAAAATTAAAAACAAGAAAATTAGTTTAAAAAAAGTGAAAAATATAAAATTAAATAAATTAAATTATAAATTAAAATATAATAATAATAATATTTATGAATACAGTTTTTACCTAGCTTTTTTCTTTTTTTCCTCCAGTTTTTGTTTTTAATGTATTTTTTTTTTAAATCTATTAATTTGTTTACAATTTGTGGGACATTTATTGCTCATTGCCTTTTCCCCAGTACCACTGCCAGTTTGCTCAGGGTTCAGAGGTTTAAAATAAACCAAACACACCCTAGCTTAAAGTATTAATTTTGAAATAACACAAAAGGTACAAATTAGGAAAAAGTAAAGTTGGACAAAAAACAAAGGAAAAAGGTAAAGGTCAGGGAGGGGAGTTGCATGTGTGTATACAATGGCGTGAGTGTATGTATATGCATTAAGAGGTGAGTCAGATTGGCGAAATAAAGGTACATATGTGCTGTAAAATATGTTGGTGGATTTTGATCACTTCATTATGTTAGTATGGCAATGGCAGGGCACCATCTTTTAATAAATATTTCTTTTTGGAGTCTCAAGGAGTGTGTTACATGTTCCTTTGGTAAATTTCCCATGAGCAAATTGCTTTTTTATTTATTCATTTTTTTTAAATTTTATTCAGATTTTAAGAGTTTAACTCTACTCATTTATATTTTTTTAATTAAAAAAACCCCGGAACGAATGGACTCTGAATGTTGCAGACACTTCCTGCAAATCCTACTTCCCGGTGATTACTTTAAAAAAACAAAACAAAAAAAACCCCACGATTTTTGTTGCTATATATTGTCTCTTTAATGGCTGTTATGGATTGTGGTGACTACCTTATTTTCAAATTAGTGGCAGTACAATTTTGAGTTTCATCATATTTTTTTTCCAGAAAAACTGCTCGTGGTGTGAGTGTAAATATAAATGTCCCTACTCCAGGTAACCTGAGATGTTAACATTTAATAAACAAGCATTCATTTCATTGCACTCATTGATTAATAAATTTGAACCAACCTCAGCTTTGTGTTCTCACCACTTCACTTGTGAAAGTCTTTGTGGTTTAAGAGCTCTTGTACACAAGAACCACATTTGTATTTCAAGACAATTCACTTGGCTGTTTGTATTTTTACATCAAAAGAGAAGCAATAGTCTCAAAACCAGGAAAATGTTGGCCTCCTATAGTGGCTGCTTGTTCCAGTCCCCAGCACCAGAGAGTAAAACAGATCATTGCCCAGGCTTTGTTCTGAGCTTTGCTGGACACCGATTAGCCACGCTAGCACTCGCCATGTGGCTCTGTGCCTTTGCCTCCATAGTCGCTCTGCGAGGGAAGTCTGAGTGCTCACATGAATATGTTGAATTTTTCTTAAACATCAGCAACCAAGTGACACAATAAACACAACTACTGAGTGTGTTAATCTTTGGAAATGCATGTTTTTATCAAGTGTGGAGCATTACTTGTCATGGGATTTGGAGTCCTGGTCATTGGCAGCATAGTGGATGATTTTTAAGAGTACTTGTTTTCAACTGCAAACACACAGTAGCTCAGCATAAATTACATGGGACACCTATGCAAGATTTGGTCTTGGCACAGCAGCAAACGCAGTCTTTAAGTCACTATATGCAATTTTTTGCCTTAAGACAGCATGTGTATGTAAGACACACCTTAATTTATGAATATCTATAATAGCTGCTTTAATATATGCCACTAATATATTATTTTAATGTCATAAAAAGTTGTGTGTGGCAGCTTTAACCTCAACTTTTCCAAGCACCATTTTATCAGCAACTAACTTGTGTTTCTTTCCCGCCTCTGTTTGTCTCTCTCTCTTTGTCTGCAGGATGCCAAGTTTGTGGAGGAGAGGAGGAAGCAGCTGCAGGGCTACCTTCGCATGGTGATGAACAAACTGATCCAGACACTGCCGGAGTTCGCAGCCCGCCCCACCAAAGAGACCCTGCTGTCTCTGCTGCCTTTCTGTCTGTAAGTGGACACACACGGGCACGCTCAATACCGGTTCTAAGCCTTTCATGCGAGCATGTGTAGATGTGTGTGTGTGGGTGAGAGAGATTCAGGGGAAGGATGCCAGCACATGTGTTCAGGTGCAGGGCTTCTGTCTGTGAGAGATTACTGCGGTGTTACAGGCATGTTGGTGGTAGAATCCAAACACGAGGAGTCAGGGAAGAAATATCTGTGTTTATATATAAATAGCATTATAGTCATAGTATTAGACAATGGTTTTTCATTTTGTTTGTCCAACTCAAACATAGTGGAATCCACATTATTTACTTCAAAACAAATGTGGAGCTTTCTTTTAGCATTGCAGAAATCCCACTGAATGCTCACAGGACATCTTAAAAAGAAAAAACATCAATTTTTGGCAGTAGTTTGCATGTATTATAGCAATTAAATCTACAAGATTTTCAGAAAGAATTAGCTGCCACGGCTGTTGTGGTAGTAGCTGTTACAGGGTACAAACAGGGAGGATTAATGTCACTGACAATGCCAAATCCCTTATAAACAAACTTCAGCGTTTCCCTTCATTTTACACTCATAACTCACACATACAGAGTATATGTTCTCTCACACACGTTCAGGCGAGCAAGTGTGAAAGGGCATGATGCCTCAGCTACCACCTGCCTGCCAGGCTACGTCTGAAGATGTCCCAGTCATTTCCTGTCAATAGTCACATCGGTTTCCACTTACTGCGATCCGTCAGCTGGCGTGACCCGTCACACTGTCTGACTGGAATGTCATTTCCTCTCTAGAGATGTCTGAGTCATCAGGCCACTGCAACAACAACAACAACAATATAGTTAACATAGATGTCGGCTCATCACTTTGTGACCTTGTTTAAAGCCACTTTGTGTTGGATGCTTATGTGATGATAGCACTTTTAAATCTCATGGCATATGTTTTTATTGGTAGAAAAATGAGACCAGTGCAGTCTATGTGTTGCTCTCAGCCCATTGATTTCAGTGTCCTCAGGATGGGGTCTAGAATGAGACGTCTCGATGAGGCAGGTCTCAGTCTGGTTCTGTATCAGACTCTAGTGCAGTTTGTTTGCGGTATAAAGGCAAAACAGATTAACTGCAGTACTGTGTTATGATAGATATGTGATCTTATAATTAATTCAAAGGATAAACAACTAAATCCACCTGATTATCGTGAGAACTGTCTAGGAAGCAATCTCCTAAGATTACAGAATTATCCGAGATCATTTGGTAACCATGGTAACGTGTATGCACATCATTTTTAGTCATTTTCCCAGATACATCAGAAGGAAAGGAAGTTAAATGGAGGTGTTTCTTCTTTGTGTAGTTCATCTCCCTTGTATTATAAATGATTCATCTTACTTCTACCTGTTCTACATTATTAATGACATATATGGTCATGTTACAGCTCTGATCAGATAATGCTGATAAATCAATTTCTTCATGTGTTCATGAGAGACAATAAATAATTTATAAGCTGAATTACAGTGCAGCATCACAGCAGAAGTACCACAGTGTTGGAATACAAATTACAAGTTAAACTCCTGCATCCAAAGTACATATTATAGGATGAGTGTCAAAATATTAAAGTATTAAAAGTGAGAGTACTCATTATGCAAATATCCCATTATGGAGTCTTATATATTGTACTAGTCCATACCCATTGGTAGCTCTGTCACCTTCTACCTATGCCAATCCTCAATACCTATGTGCAGTTTCACATAGATTGACCACGTCAGTGAGTAGAAAAACGTGGGACAGACAGAATGACTGACTGACAGAATGACATATTGACAGTTTCCGTGATTATGTACAGCATACCATACCATGACTTTGTCATACCAAAAATTAGGAAAAAAACAAACATTGGGCCACAGGGGGAGCCACAGCAATCAGTCGCATTTGAGCCATTTTTAAGCATTTTTCGGTTGTTATAGCGCCACCCAGTTGCCAATTAGAGTTAAATTTCTGCAGTCACCTTGAGGCGTCCTGTTCTACATATCTACCAAGTTTAGTAAAAATCGATATGGCGGTTAGGCCTAGATAAGAAATTAGCTCTCTAGCGCCCCCATTTTGTTTGATGGGGTCAATAATGGAGGGGTCCTCTCAGATTATGTGTGGTCATATGACTACAAAGTTGCCTGGTGATCGGTGAAACCCTTGAGATGTTATACACCTTTATGTGATGAGCCACGCCCTCCGCAATATTCATTGCCTTATAGAAGCTCAGTTTTAGTAAGTTTTCCAACTTTTGCCAAGAGGGAACTTTAGATATTGGTCCCTAGATTATGTTCACAGTTTCATGCAGATCAGTCAAACTTCCTAGGAAGAGATCGATTTTAAGTGTTTTTCAAAAAATTCAAAATGGCGGAAAATCTATATAACCGGAAGTTATGGGTTCTTGTGGCAAATTTGTTCCTCATGAGGAGAGGCATCTATATGCAAAGTTTCATGTCTCTACGACATATGGGGCATGAGATATGCCCATTCAAAGTTTGCAATTTCAGTCGGTTACTATAGCGCCCCCCTTTGGCCAATTGATGTAATATTGCTTCATTCGCATCCTCCCATGACCCTCTACCACTGTGCCAAATTTCACATGGATTGACCAAGTCAGTGAGGAGAAAATCGTGAAACAGAGACACACGCCCACAGACACACAGAGTTTTTTGTCATTATATAATAAGATTACTGGGTTAAAACTGTGGATGCAGAAATGATTGAGCACCACTTCAATGTCGCAGCTGGTAAAGGTGATGCTAATTGTAACTACTGAATATACTGCTGGGTAGCTCCACTTCAGGCAAGGTGTTTTTTAAAATAGTTTTTCGTTTCGTAGTTTTTTTTACTACCAGTGTCAAAACATGCACGTTTCATTTCCACTTTAATACATTATAATGTATTAATACATGTTATGGACCAAGCAGTCAAAGCAAAAAAACAGAGGTTTAAAGTTTAAAAAAAAAAGGTGGTTTTATTTTCCCAAAGATCAAATTTATAAAGCTAATGACTAAAGATAACAGAATTGGAATTACAGGGCCACTGAAAGAGGTCAACAATACATTATTTTACTGAAAAATAAGGCTAACAATACTAGACATAAACTCAACAAACCGAACTAACAGAATGGAACAATGGGGCAACATATATACTGGCTGATCAGACCAAATTAAACACAAAGGGAAGAACTTACATAGACAATAACTGCAGCTAGCAGAAAGAAACCCCTAGATCCTTGCATTTAAGAAGTGTGTTCCACACAAGGATAGTCTGGGATTGAGATAAACTCTCATGGGAAGTTGTGGAGTATCACAGAACGTTAGAAACTGCTGAATTTCGGAGGTTACAGGAATATACAGTGAGAACGGCTTATAGTGATGGAAAAGCTTTGGACAGAATCATCCCTATGCAAATAGTTTGCCAACCGAAATCAAGTAGTCTGCTAATGGTGTACGTTTCAGGTCTTTTCATACATAACAACTAGGGAAATCCTATAATATTGGCACGTCATTGGCTGACATTGGCTTTAAAATGAAATATCAGAACTAGCCAACATGCTGATAATAACGGTGTGTCATCTGTATAGGCAAATATTGGCTTTAAAATGAACAGATCAGAATCGGCCAACATGCTTTTTATTATTTTGCCCAGCGAATGTATATTACATACATTGAAAAGCATCCTATTACATGTCTCCATCTAATGGTGGGTTAATGGTGGATATGTTGAAATCGGTATCAGCTATCGGCCAAATGAGTTGTTTCATATCGGCATATCGGATATCAGCAAAAAATCCAATATCGTGCATCCCTAATAACAACGTATGGAACAGCAATTTAAAACTACAGTAAATACTTTTTTTTTTGTTTTTTTACTTTACTCCCATGATACTGTGCTTAATGCTAACACATCTGCTTCCAGCTGGCTACCTGAGGCTGGTGCTGCATGTACATTGAAATCATGATGGGAAAACGAAAGTCATTTTCTCTCAGTGAAAAAAATGTAGTCTCCTTGAAGCTTATGGCTGCCAGTCATGGTCACTAGTGAAGGAGGCAGAAAATGAGCGCCCACAGGGAAAGCACCCGTAGTAGCAGCCGTCCTTGTCATGTAGATTGATAATGCCCAGTAATGTAATGCCCCTGTAATAAAACAGCTGCACTGTATTTTGAATAGCGTAGCTGCCTGTTTTATGACTTAATATTCATGTAGCACACAGCTGACAATTAGATGGTAATCTGCATGAGAAATAAAGAAAAAGGAAAAAAAAATCAATTAATCGTCCACTTAAAGTGATCAATTTGACCCGATAGACGTGAGCACTGCAAGCGGTTTCCATTGTACAAGAATGCAAACTAAAAGTGGAAGCAGAACTTAAAAGGTGCTGCACACCCACACAGATGTTTTCATTTACTCTGGCTGATTAGACCTCTGCTCAGGTTGAAGCCAGGTGGAGCTTTCCTGGGAATTACTTACTGAATTAAATAAGAAGTTGAATTTTAAATCCTTTTCTTTTTCTAACCACGTACTAAACCAAGAAAAATAGCATCTGCACAGCCATTTGAAAAACTCTATTTTCCACGTTGTACATATAAAGAGATCAACTAGAATTGAAAGGAACATAGTCCAGCAGATTCGGAGTACAACACAGCCTGTGTAAACCTCCAAAGCTCAGACTGCTCATTATTTAGTCTGCCCTCGGAGCCTTAACAATCCTATCTCTCCTTCTCATAACTCGGAGCTGAAATAGAAACCTTTCTACTGCACGTCTGAATGGCATGAAGTATTACAGTGTCAGGCCTCATTACTTTCCTCTGTTCTTCCTGCACTGAAATATTGTTACTCAGAGTTTAATAAGTCTTCATTCATACTTGCATCTACTCTTACCCAATTACTGCAAGTTTGTGATTGTAGATGCCTGCTTATGTATCAACTACTTGTTAACCCCAGGCAGGGTGGCCATAAAGCATCTGAGGGCCTGTTTTAAGAGCT